TGCATAACATAGTTCATAGTCCAGGCCAAAGGTATAAAATACGGGAAAGATTTTTGTAGTTTTGAAATTTGGTTCCTGTATGTGTTTTGGGTTGCAGAACAATAACATCAGGTTTGTGAACCATAATTGTGCCTGGCAACACGTTTTTAAGCAAAAAAATGTAAATATCACGTCTTTTTAAGTTTTTTTTTCAAAATATCACAAGAGCTATCCATTTCTTAACATGTATGAAATAAGTCCTGTATGAAATATATCCTGTATGAAATAAAAGAAAATACATTTAACATTACTAAGCTTTGTTTCTCCAATTACCAGTTTGGCCGTGAGATCATCGCGAAATTAGGTGATATAAGAAAATCTCATCAATAAACGGGAATTATATCACTTTATCTCAATACAATTTGAGTATAGATATTCTGTCATACACTTATTAATGTCTAAACATTTCTTTTATGTCTTAGAAAATTCTCAGATCAGTTTTCATTTCTTAAATTTTTAAAACCATGTTATACATCAGCACACTCACTAAAAATCAACAACAATTAAATAAAATAAGAAATAACACTTTTCACATTTCAGCGTTTGCGGCAGATAATTCAACGCAAGGAGATAGAACAGCAATCTTTCCAGGGTGGTGAAGGTAGGAAACCCCTCGGTTGGTGGGCGCTGTCCCCCAGAAAGCGAGGAGGTGCGTGCTGGCGCTGAGCTAAAGAATGTTTATGGCGATGTTTATGGATAATTAACCAGTGATAAAGCGTTGATACGTTTAAAGTACTCCGTTACTCACAATTCAAATTATTATGTTTTGTTGTGGCCGATCTAATAAGTTAGATTTCCTCCCTCGCATAGTTCGTAGTGTTATTGAAAGGAACCACTAATATTCCCGGGAGAAGTTAATAGTCCGTGGCAAAATAGAAAGCGAGATTACGCGGAGCTTCGTGTAAGAACATGAAGATGAAAATCTGATTCCGGGAGCGGGCGGAAGGTAGGGACATGCGGATGCTTAAAGTAGATTACGTGAACACGTCTGAACTGAACGGAGAGTCGGTTGCGTCAGGTCAGAACGAAGTGTCGTAAACGTCTTTTGTATGGAGTTTGTTTACTGGACATGCACGTCTCTTCAACGAAGGAAAACTTTAAGTTTATTTGAGAGTCTTGGAATGAGCATGTGAAATTATGTTAAGAAACTGTAAATCAGTCTGCTGATGGAATTAGTCGTTTGATCGTGTCTAAAAGGGTCGAGGACAAGAATATAATTAATTCATGAAAGAGTTGCGTGGCCAAATGTAGGCAAGATCTGGAGTGGAAAGTGCTTGAGGTGAGTAAATGAGATAAGCCAGATAAATAAATCGAAATACTATTTTTCTTCGTTCAATACAAGGAGAATGCCGGAGAAGTACCATATTACTTGGCTGCGCGCGATATTTCCTTCTTCATCATTTACCCTTCGCGTCTCTCACTTTCTCTCCCTCTTCCTTCCTCCTCTCTCTCTCTCTCTCTCTCTCTCTCTCTCTCTCTCTCTCTCTCTCTCTCCTTACACACACTTAAATGCATACATGTAATCCAATACCGCACATGTCGGAGACCAACCGGAAGCCTAGACCCGCTGGAGAAGTTCCTCGGAAGTGGAGGAGTTCACCGTTGTCGATGTTGAATCTCGCTCTCTGGTGGGGGAGGAATATCGCCATCCGGGAATCCGCTTAAAAATTATTGCCTTTTACGGTAGCTCGTCTCCTCTCACGCGACCGATTTACAATGCAATATTTACAAACACCCGTTTAGTTGCAGCCAAATCTGCATTATAGCTGCATTATAGTTGCTAGCAGGAACTCATTATGTGACACTGAATCCAATGATGTAAATTGTATTTATTTCTAATTTATGATCAGTGATTCCGAGCACGTCAACATCATTACTCTCGTAAGTGTAGTACATATTTTTCTCGGGAGGTGGCGGTGAACTTCCGCTGAATGGTGAGATCCGGTGCCCACTTCCGTCAGTTAGCGGGGTTCCCCCAACCAGGTCTCTCCCACTAGCAGGGTACCACCCCACCCGGGACAAGCTCTAAACTCGTGACCGATATCCCGACTTGTGTGGTAGTGTAAGGCATGTTTGTGCAAGTATGTGTGGATAGAACAAGGAAGAGGAAGGAAATATCGCGTGCGGTCCGTGGCTCGTTTGGTAGGGTACTGCTCCGCATTCGGATACTGGTATTGATCGGAGAAACCAATCGGAGCAGCCGCTCGGTAGAATTCTTCTCCAGTCAGCAACTGAACTCTACCCAGCTCTCTAGCTACTGTCGAAAAATCTGTCACCATCAGGACTCGAACCTAAGAACACCCGGTGAGAGGCATTGCACTGACATCAGCTGATGACCTGAACCACCTCTCCCGGTATTTATTTTTAATATGAATACCCTAATACTTTACAAACTTACAATATTCATTGAGAGTTTGTTGGTAAGCAGATATATAAAAGGCAGTTATTGCACTTGCATTATGCGCTTGATCATCAAACATAATTGTTATCGATTGCTCAGTTGTTATCGATGATAATCTCAATCTCCACAACGCCAACTGGAAAGGGAAGATGTGCGAAATAAAAGTTAAGAACTTACTCAAGAGGTTGGTAAACTGAATAGGTTGAAATAATGGGCTTTCTCAATAGGCTGTTTGTATGCGATCGCGGATTATCTCAGGTAGTGAACTGACCGACATGGCACGACGCGTTGCTAAATGTTTTCCTCGTGAACTCAGCAAAAATGTTATTTTCGTGCGACGTGCTTGAAGGCATTAGCATCCACGAATGTGTCTTGTTACAGTTGCGTACTCGCTGAAATAAAACTAGGAGACGAAACGCGAAACAAAGAATATGGCAATACAGGAAAACATATTGAAGGAGTTTGTAATCAGTTAAGGGAACAATACACGTTGAATGCATATTGCTATTAAGCTGTGTCCCAATAATGCGATGAATTTAGCGACAAGACATCCTAGACATGCATAACACTGCGATAGTATTAAGTTATTTATTTTAAATTGCTTGAATTTTAATACATTTTTAATTGTAGTTTAATATTAACTCCGTGTAATTATATATGGTTATTTTATTTTTATTATTGGAACTTTTTCAAACCTATTTCATTTTATGTAGCCCTGATGATGTCCCAATATTGAGCCACATCGTTGAGAGTAAATATATAACATGTTTTTTATGACGTAAACCCAAGAATCCACTCCATCGTGTTTTCGTTTCTTCAACTTGTTTTGAGCTTAGAGGACATTTTTAGAAACTAGTGGAATGGGCAAACGAACTTTTGGATTCCTTTTGTCTGAAAAGAAGAACAATCAAAGAAAAATGTGGAGGTCAAAACATTCATTCACAAAATTCATTCATTTGAATGAAAAATCCTGCGGAATGTTTCTACAGAAAAAAGATTATTGCTTGAAGTTCCTTTCTTCACTGGAATTATAAAAGGGCACATCATTGATCTGATCAGCAACTATTATATATTAATAATTCCCCATCAATTAACAATCAATTTTTTATTGATTAACAGTAGCATTTGCGAAGAACGTGTGTCTTAATGACCAGATAAGCTTTCTTCAGTTATGTAACCCCACCGTTTTGTGTCTACCTCGAGAAAATAGTGGGAATGTGTGGCCTTACAAAACGTTTCCTTCTTTTAGTGTTATTAAATGCATAATTTGAATATTGTAATGAATACTAAACGTGCTGATCGTGACAACTTTTCACTCTACAAAAAAGTAAACTGATTATTGTCCTGGCACTCTCTTCCATGGAAACAGATAAAGATAAGAAGACCGAAAAAAGATTGTTCATTTATTTTTGAAAAAACAATCACGCTTGCCGTCAGATCTACTGAACAATAACTGATTTTTTAATGAGCATGATATTCTTAAAAGATCTTAAACTTACGATATATTATATTAAGAATTAATTTCTAATGATTTTCATATTGTTGATGTAGGACAAGTTCTATTTTCTTATTAATTTTACGATTTTTAATATCTCGGAGGTATTAATAAAATTTATAGCGCATCTATTTAATATTTATGAAAGTACATTCTTCGTTTGGAGCTCACCAAAATGAAATAAAAAATGTGCTGCCATTTTCGAGAAATTTTGAAAACGGCACAGGGTCTTCATGTAAAGTACTCCCAAAATTTAAAATGTCTTAATGGTGTCCGAAACTGCACAACTACATCTTAGCCCTGATGTTTTCGCACGTTTTAGCTGAAACGTTTGTAATATGATAGAGTTACATTGATTGACATATCTATCCATCCATTCAGACATCCCCATTTTCGGGCATAACACTGCGTGCATCTCGTCGTCATCTGCATCAATTTTAACTATGGGATACTTGGTTGACCCGGATAAGCCACGTCTCAGTCGATTGAGCTGCCGTTTCTTTTCTAACGTGTGTGAGAAGTTACAACTCAAAAGTACCTTTGACACGGATTTTGGATCGAAAATTCGACATTGTTTTGTTAAGGTGATTACAATGAAATTTCTCAATAATGTCCTTCCAATAAAAAAAACACACCCACACTAAAATAATCTCGAAAGCGCAATTCTAGAGCGTTTCAAGATCAATGTCCCAGTCCTTCGACTAAAATCTAAGGTTGTAAGTACCCCAATAGCAGCCCAGGGGATCATTCGCACGTTGCCTTATGTGTAGATGCGATAAGACACTCGGCGTAGGTGAGTGTGGTGTGATCCGTCGCGTGCAGCTGCGCCTCGGGCGGTGCGTCGCGTGGCGTCCAGCGGTGCCTCCTGCGCGGCGGCGGCGGCGGCGGCGGAGGGGAACGGAAATGGAAATTGGAGGCCGGGGCGCGCGACGGGCGGCAAGGCGACGCCCGGCCGCGGCGACGCCGGCCCTCGGCGCGCGGGGGAGGGGGCGCCCGGCGCGCCGGGAGCGGGGGCGTGTGCGCGAAGCCATAAAAGACGCTGCGGTCCCGCGGTGCGTCGTTCAGTTGCCCGCCGCCGTCGCCGCCGCCGCCGCCGCCATGCCACCGAACCCGGCCTCCCCGTCCGCGCCGCCCCGCGCCGACGAGAAGTTGCTCATGGTGGCCGAGGACTTCTCCGAGGTGCCCATGAAGGCCCTTCTGGACGAGGGCGCCGTCCCGCCGCCGCCGCCGGCCGCCGCCGCCGCCGAGCCCGTGGACGAGGACCGGCCCAAGGACCGGCCTGTGCCCTGGGAGATCAAGTGGAGGAACGTGGTCATCCTCAGCGCCATGCACCTCTGGACGCTGTACTCGCTCACCTACATTCCGTACATCAAATGGCAGACGTATCTCTGGAGTAAGTACAGCGTGTTGTTCTGGCGCAGAAAACAGAAACCGAGTGACGTTTTGAATATGAAATTTCAATGCATAAAGTATTTTCCTAATGAATGATACTCCAGTGGAAAATTAGGTATAATTTTATACTTGTACAATGCTGCGATCTAATCGAATTTTTCACTAACTTTCTCTTAAATATTATACAGGCATTAACTATAGAACCTCTTATGTTCGTGTTGGCGACATTTGCCAACATTACAAAGCACATATTACATTAGAAAGAATGTAATGTCTTGCTCACCCTCTTATTGTAAATTTTTAAGTTATTTATTTTCTTATAGGATATGTTTGAATAACATAACAGGTAACATTATAGATTCTGCTTCCAGTTCCATATTACTGAATAAATCTTTTAACTTTGTGATCTTATTAGTGGGACAAAATGAATTGACCGTAACACCGCTTAAGAAATAAAGAGTTTTGTGAATCTTAGATTGCGAGACAGAAAATCTAGTCAAATTCAGTAGCGTCTTGCCTGTTAAAGCATGTAGGCGGCAAATTCAAAATAATTCGCTATTTAAATAACAATATTTACATACATGCTAAGAGTTCATTTGCATAATTATTCAGATGAGTGATAATCGCATCACAGTTGTCTTGTATTAACTGCAAATCTGTTACAAGCGGATAATATGCACGTGTTCTCAAGCCTGGTAGTTTACTCCGTGTTGCTATCTGGTGGTCTCCATTCCAAAGCACAAGGAATGGCACACTGCAAGCTGCGATAGATGTGCAATGGGGTGTTGAGGGACGTTGAGCTTTGTAATGTTACTCAACCTCTGAAAATCTGAAGCGGTGTCCATCGTTGTCAGACAAAAACACGCAAATCCCTCAGATCGCTTTCACATCTACGCAAGGCGATTGCATGATCCCAAAGGATAGAAGTGGCCAAAGGTGGTGGGGTGAGCAAAGATCATGAATAATTATGAATTGGGCTCAGCATGAGAGTATTTCAAAAATGTTGTAGTGTAAGTTTACGTTTGAACTGAAATGTAGTTATTTCATTACTTCAAATATTGTACTACATTTTCATTATGAAAACCTAATGTTTCATGCGATTCTTTTATGCTTTGTCTCATGCGTATGTGCGCCTTTCACCCTGTGATATCGTTTTCTCTACCGAGAGTGCAGGCCTGCATTGCCTCGGGCCCGCCTCGCTTCGTCGATGCGACTCCATTCTCTGGCCCTCCCCTCGCAGTTTTTGTGAATTATTCTGACTTAATTTTGTGCCAATTTTTCAAGTCAGGAGCCGCCACACGTCGAATTCCTCTTTCACTCCGCAGATCTCGCCATTGCAGTAATTTCAGTAGTTATTTTCTCTCTTACCACTACGCAGCATACGAGTGTAGAGTGGTAGAGGAGTAGTAGAGTATTCTGATGCAAAAAACGGCTATTTGTAGACATAAAAACTCGTTTTGTGCATCCCTGATACCGAAAAATAGATTGTCTATAACGTGTCTAATGTATAACCTGTTAAGTGTATTAGTTGCATGTTGGCATTTTTCATTGAATTTCTAGCTCGACCCGCACTATCTTGAATGTTTAACACGCCTTCCATAAACTACAATCATAACAGAAGTCCTCACGCTACTTATTGCTGACAAACAACTTGCGATCCTGGATATGCTCCTGCGATAATTCGCATTCTTTACTACGTTGTTGAAACCTGTGCCCTGACTAGGTGTTTATCATGCACGCCCTTTGTACCGGAACTTCCTGCTGAAATGCAAGCCATCATTGTGCGGCATTTTTTAATTTGAAAATAAGTAGATTTAATGAAGACTTTGTCAGATATGTTTATTTGTATAATTCTTTTGTCTTAATGCCACTTCTTTTGTTATGATATAAGACGTGAATCTGAAAACTAAACGAATTTGATGAAAAAATGATAACTTTTTTCTTCCACGCGCACGAAATGCTTCTAAGTTTCAAACTTCAGGCTTCCGTGGGAGGAGTCGGTAGATATTTAGTCAGTTTTGGCCGTTATATTGCGACTTGCTTCAGGACGAAATGAGCAGAGAGCTATTAAAACGTTGAAGGGAGTATTCTCCTATGAACTAGTCGGTATTTTTTGTTGTTTTCTTGGTGTAAAAAGCTCAAGGTAAGCGTGTGATCCTACTACTCCATTGCTGGTCTGGTCAGAATAAGCAGAGCACGGAATAAAAACTGATCGAAAATTTAAAAGTATATAACTTTTAATAATTTAAATTTAAAATAAATAACCCATTTTAAAGAAATTTAAATAGATGCATCTCTTTTAAGAATATTTTTGTAAAATTTAAAGCTTATGTGCTAGAAGGCAAAGTTTATGAAAACTGAGAGGTATTTCAATTTCCTCTAACAAATAACTTGAAAGCCACTGGGAAAAGAAAAATGCTATTTCAATTTAACAGGAAATTTGCAGATTTTCTTTAAATTTACAGGCGTTTTCTCTTCGATGCTGGCCAACCGACGCTGGCAAGAAAAGCTGACGAACATTCCTAAAAGATTGTTTTATTTTTCTATCCTGAATACATTCCGATTTATTTTCTAGCGAAAATATAAAATGGGAAATCGGGAAATCTTTTACTACCTCAAATGTCTGGATGAACTTTGACATATATTGCCTCAGTTTCTAGTTTTACAGCAATGTTCTCATGTAAAAAGTTACAGGTACTTAATTAAATTTCGTTTCAAATGAGTTATTTTTATTTTATCTTCTCGTGACCAATATTCATAGTGCATGAAATGACAACGAAATCTACGTTATGTGAATATTAGCCCACTTTTCACTGTATTTTACATTAAATCGATAGAAAGTACCCGTTTGGTCACAAGGGTAGCACACAATTAAAATTCCATCGATCTGTAATGATTAATTGCGTTGTGTTATTATTAGTTCGCTTATTACTCAAGTATCGTTTTATTTATTACAATAGGTTTCCATATTTCTGACGCTTCCTTTTTATTAACTTTTTAGCTCTGCATACTTGAGTCCATTGAAACGCGTGATAATTTCAAAATTACTTCAAATGCCGACACTTATGACTCATGTCGTATGTTTCCTCCGGACTTCGTAAACAGCCTGATAAAAATGATAGTGAAATATTATTGGCTGTGTAATCGATACCATGTATGTTCTTTTCAAAGTAACTTGGAATGTAATTACCAATAGATAAAACCTACCAATTTATGGATCAAACTCTACTGACCATTTTTAAAACATACGAACGACTATTTTTGACATCCTACTTAATTTACAGAAGATTATAAAACTTTAGAACTATTCCCCACAAGATATATTAAAGTTTATTTAATATAATAATTATACTTAGCATCACATTATTATTTCTCTTACACAGATTATTATATCATCTCTATTAATATTGCATGGCATTTTTTAAGAATATACCCTGAGTTGCGGATGAACTTTTAAACGTTTCCACGGCCTCTATCGTTCGCGGTTTCAGAAGACCACGGATTACGATGTCTAGAGCATTTTGTGACCTCTAAACGACAATCGACACTGCCGTACGAGAGTATTATTGAGGCAGTCTAGAAATCACGCAAGTTACGTTTGTCGCATGCAAAGAGTAAATAACGTGGAGGTGCATAGTGGAGATTTGTGCCCCCGCGGTGCATGGCCGGGAATATGACTATTTACACAGTGAAGCAGCGAAAAGTATTTCTGTATTTTGCTGTCTTTTTGAAATCTCCACAAATTGTTCTAAATAGAGACAATGAGCTTGCCGTGCGAAATAACGCGCAATGATTTTTTAAAAAATCAGCAAAGTAATTTATATCTTGGAGCGTATTTTGCGAGACTTACGCTAACACACGACACAAGCATCCCTCTTTTAAAAATCAAAGATGTTTTAATCTGCCTGATGAACGAAATTGCTAATGAGAACATATTGGTGATATCCTTGACACTTCAATTCTTTTGGACGAAATCAGAACTCAGTGTCTTGAATTGTAACTTACGAGGGCTCTTTCCGGTACGTCTCCGAGAGAAATCCGACCGACGTGGTAGCCGAGGCGGCTGTACTGCACCGTGCCTTGGGGCTTCGTGGCCCCTGTGCTGTCTGGCGATGCACCACAAACGGAACCGATCTCGCCATCCAGCGGGGGAAGAACCTCGCCACCTCCTGAGATAAAACATTCACTGCACTAACGGGACTAGTAACTACAGCAGTTTAAGTGACTGAATACATTAATCAATCAACTCGGTTTTGAAAGAAGGAAATGTCAGGGGTAAAATACTTAAAGTAGTCTTCTTTATTTCTGGAAGTATCTGTTTTTTTAAGAGAATTGAATTTATGTAACGCGGAGGCGCGAAGGCTGAAGTTTCGGCCGATTTTGAAATTCACACGCGAAATCCGGCAAACAAACAAGGCAAATTGGAGGCATTTACGAGGCGCCTATAGAATTGTTTCTTCCCACGTAAGGCAAGGTCGCGGACAAAGTAACTGGCTTGGGGTAGAATTCGCTGGCAGAGAAACTGGCAGGTAGGTTTAGACGTAACGGTTCCAGGGAATTCTCGAATGGCGGACAATTCACTGAATGTAGCAGTCTTTTGGAGGTCTTTTTCGGAGGATGGACCATGGCAGTCTTTTGGAGGTCAGACGGTAGATATTGAACTTCAAAACTTAGTGATATGAATTTCCATTTATAATATTAATGAAAACCATCATAATATGGAACGTATCAGTTGAAAGAAATACTACACGTTTTTGAATCAAAAGTTGTTTGACTTCGTAATCGCGTTTACTGGGAAGAGTGCAATAATCGTCTTATTTTTCCTTCGTAATGAATAGGAACAAAATTCTAGTCCTGTTCAAGAGAGCAGCGCCCTAGAGTGATGTAATAGGTCTACGAGTAGGTCTTTAAGTAAAGGAGATAGGCTAACGAGGCCTCCGTCACTACGCATCATAAATTGCAACACAGACTCATCACACCTCTAGCAACAGGACAAGACTT